ACTGTTAACAGCCCTGGCTTCTGCTTGTGGCTGGGCTTTTTTTTTTTTCTTTGAGGGGGAGAGAATGACTGTAATTAAGGTGATATACCCATTATATTCACATACAGGAACTGTTAAGTGGGGTACTTTTATCTTCAACTAACATTTAATGTGTATGTTAAATGTCAAATGAAATTGAGGTGCAAACGCAGTCATTATTGGAAAGGTCTTGAGGAGGCATCAGGCTTGAAAGCACTCCAAGGAGAAATGGAACCCAATTGATTTTAAAAAGCGTCTTGATGCAGATAATGTTCTCTGTTAAGCATTGAGGGAAAACAGATTGTTTTTTAAACCAGTTTCCAGGCTGCTTTAGTGTTATGTCTTTTCCATACTACTCTTTCACTGTATTTTCTCAAAGGACGTATTTCAGCAAGATCACTCTTTCAAGATGGTTTAGAATAAGATCATTTATTGCAGCAAAATTTGACTGAGGAGTGTTTCTTGCTATATAAAACTTTACAGTATCCGCTTTGCTTTCTCTTTTAAATACAGTGGACAGCAGGTAAAAAGCATATGGTTGCAAGATATGGGACATCATATCACTACTATGCTTTTCTTGGTGTAACTAAAAGGAGAGGGGAGCATATCAAATGCAGGAGTCCTAATTTTGTAGGCAGGCTTGTTTATTATCAATGTGTGTGTGGATTGACTTAGTGAAGATGCCAGGAAAGTTGGAATTGGACTGTCTGAAAGCTAGAATATCACTTGATTTCATTGCCACAGTGTATTCTGTTAATTAGGAGATGATTTTCCTAGAAAGCTATGTGGGTTTTGTGCATTGCTTTCCTGATACCTCATAGCAGTATCAGTACTGATAACAGGCTGATTAACTACATTTGTAGTAACTTTGTAGTGGTCAGAAAGCTAAGGGAGATAATACCACTGAGGGTTAAGGATTGCTTCTTGAAATTGCTTTAAACTGGCAAATAATAGTTTGCTCTCTTTGACATCTGTTAAATAAATGAATACAGCTGAATTTAAGTCAACTAAAGGGAATGCTGCTCTGTTAATCAGACTCCTTTTCCCCTTTGCTTACCAAGTACTTCTTGGAGAGACAATTTGACTACAGACTGTTTCCCCAATTGCCATGAGATTTTTCTGCATAAGTTTTCATGTAGATAATGGAATCTTTTTTCCATATCAATTTTAAGCTTGTATGGGTATTTAACTTGCTTGCAAATCAAAGTACCAAAATAAGCATACTGTATTCCTTACATTGTCACTGGAGGAATGCTGACCTTCCCTGGAGGTGTTGAATTTGAATGCTTCTGGCAGTCTAAAACATATGATATAAAACTCCCTCATTGTGTTTCCAGTCCAGGATTTTTACACTTAGAGCTTTTTTGCAGCACTTCTGATCTGCAAGGAAAAGAAGTCAGAATAAGATAAAAGACCTGAAAGGCAAGTCAAATGCCAGGCAGTTGCAGTCCTGCATTGAACAGTCATGCTGCTTGCTGCGGGGTTAGGGTTGGAAAGGGCCTTAAGATCATCTAATTCGAATCCCCCTGCCATGGGCAGGGACACCTCCCACTAAACCATGTCACCCAAGGCTTTGTCCAACCTTGAACACCGCCAGGGGTGGAGCATTCACAGCTTCCCTGGGCAATCCATTCCAGTGCCTCACCGCCCTCACAGTAAAGAACTTCTTCCTTATATCCAATCTAAACTTCCCCTGTTTAAATTTTAACCCGTTACCCTTGTCCTGTCACTACAGTCCCTAATGAAGAGTCCCCCACCTCAGTAGGCCTGTATAGACGCAGAAGACCACTGTGGTACAACTGTCGTGCTCACAGCACCGTCTGTCAACCATCGGTTCGTGGTGTGTGTTTGACAAGGGGGAAAGGTGAATCTTCTCAGAGTTCTGCTTCTGGCTCTGTTGTTGTAGGATTTCACACTGAGGCCATTTTTTTGTCAATGGGCATGCTGTGCATGGATGGTGTGATTCAAGCATCCGTGCCACATTGCTGGATCCATACTGAGGTGTGACATTTTTCAATTTCAAAACGTACTGTGTTCATATGATACTGAATAAGTATTCTGATACTGAGAACCTTACTGTCAGATACAGTTAAGTTTTTGCATGACACTTACAGTTAAATGACCACCAGATTGAATGGTGCTGAATTAAAATTTGTCTGAAACTGTAGTATGATTAAGGCCTTTCTGGTTGGGTTTCTTGGCTCTATATTAATACCATATGATGAAGTGTTCTAGCCCTGAAACAAAGCCCGCATGAAGTGGAAACTGGTTTCTTGATTTAACTGCAGGAAAGTTAGTCCTCACTCTTCCTTATGCATCTGGGCCAATACTTCTATTGAAGATGTAATGCATAAGGAGTAATGCATAAAATCCACACAATTTTTTAGGAAAATGATCTCCTAATTGGAATTAAGGATATATTCCAGTGAAATTAAGTATATTCTAATTTTCAGGTGCTTCAGTTCTGCCTTGTCTTGGCTGAAAAAAATGATAAACTTCCTATTTAATTGTTTGCTTTTTAATAAATGGCACACTTCCAATACTGTTTCTCCTGCAGGAAAACACAATATTGGGATAGGTGATGTGGTTGTATCACTAAAAGCTGTGAACTATATGAGGGTGTATACTAATAGGTTGAATTCCTGTGGTGACCAAGGTTTACTCTCTCTTTGGCATAGAGCATGACAAAAGCAATAGGTGCACAGCAGCGGGTTTTTTAGTGCATGCCGTGCTGTGGTGAACTGTTGCCTTCTCCTCCCTATAACCACAGATGCAAGTAGCAACTCTCAGGAGGGAAACTGCTGCTTTTAAAACACCACCCACAGACTGAATTTTCCACACTGCAGAATCTCAGCAACCTATTATGTGTTTCACTAGCTGTCAGGGTGTTGACTGTGAAAGTTCATAATGTAAAATTAAAAACTCTGTATCCTTGTCAAAAAGCTGCAAATCTGTTACAAGGGAAAAGAAACCAAAGCATAGTAAAATATGCTGGTGATCTGCATGACCTACCCCAGTAGCAGCCACCTTTGTTTTTTGTTGAGGTGCTGGGTAAGTTTATAGGTCTTCCAGTCAGCCTAAAGCCCTGCTGAGAAAGCAGGGATCTCCTCAAAGGAGAAGAAAAGTCAAGAGTATCTTTCTTGACTCGTATGGCCTTGGCTTCAGGGTGGCTGTTTTCTTTTGCCTGGTTTTGCAGTGTAACCCAGGGTTTCTTGTGCTGCTGAGGCTGATTCACAAAAAGTGTCAGCAACTCATCTTTGCTCACAAACCAGACAATAACCACTGATCAAAATGAGCCCAGTCAAAAGCATTACTGTGTAGAACTCACCTTAGATTTTTCAAATTGTCTGTGGGCATCAGGGGTGTTTGTTTTAAGGCTGAGTAAGAAAACCCTCAAACTGTGCCTTTGGGACTTGAGTGGGATGAGCCCACAAGGTGGTAGAAGAGTGGTGGAAGAGTGAGTTGTTCTTGGTTCCCCATCTGCTGCTGGGTCTCTTGGTTTCAGTAATGAGAGGAAATCCGTTTTCAGCACTCCCACGATGGTTCCTGTGTTGCTGTGGCAGCAAAGCAGGGTGAGAGTTGGCTGCTGAAACAGGCACATGAGGGGCTCTGCAGTGAAAAATGAAGGCAGTGATTAGTGCGTCACCAGATTCCTGCGTGTTCTCTCAAAGTGGCTGTCATCCTCAGCCCACTCACCCCACTGTGAGCCCTCTGGAGCTAGCTATGAATAAGAGGCATTGTGAGCATTCCTGCCAGGGAGGCAGTCTTCCTTTCAGCACAATGGAGAAATATTTCCATGTGGTCACCATGCAGTTCACAGAATTTCAAGCACTTATCAATTGCTTTTATTAAAAATTGGGGGGGGGGGAGGCTAATAAAAACATCTGTTTCCCTGCAATCACCTGGTTTTCTGTTTTCTGTTGGTCCTGTAGGTCATTCTTTAGAATCTGTGTCACATTTCCCTGGAGGAGCAATGTAGGAAAGAGCATGTTGGCTAGACATGTCAGGCTCCTTGGCGTGAGGAGTGTCTAGAACTGAGAAACTTCTCCCACGTCTGCCTGTAGTCTGTTCCCTCAAACCCCAGGAGAGCTTGTCATCCTTTCTTCCATATAAAACTTCCAGTCACCTTCCTATCTGACTGGGCAGAACTCAGGCTGGGAACTGGAAGGGTCTAGTCACTTGGTGAAATTCACGGCTGTTTTTCCTATATTAAAACTACGGTTAAAGTGGTATTATTGGAATTAAGCTTCACACACAACAGATGATTTAGAATTTTTACGTATTTTATAAAGATCAACTTTGTAAAGAAGGGACTTTGTTTGCTAGGCGTGAATTTTAGATATGAATGCAGAATTTTTCAGACCAGATATGAGTAAGAATAATTTTAAACACCCTTTTTCCTGTTTGGGGTTTTTAAGCTCTTTTAAGTCTCCCTTTTAAACTATGTATTTGTTATGTGTATTCTGTTTAAAAGCACAGGTGGATTAGATCTTCAGACTGTAGTGTATAAGGCTTGAGTTACATCTTGGTTTGTTAAAACGCTGTCCTAACTTAAGAGTGCTTTTGAATATCTCAAAAACCCCATTATAGTAAAAGCCAAAAGAGTGCAGATAAAGCCTAGGAGTCTGTAAAATGTACATATGATAGGCAATGGTACTCACACTTCTAATGCTATTGGCCTTGGTGCTGTTATCCATGTGCTTGTACCTTAAAAGCTTGCTTTTCTGAGTACTCAGTTAAGGATGTTCTGGCAGCTGGACATAAGATGGGTGTAGAACCAAACAACTGCCTGGTAAACACTAACTGTATTCTGTGTTGCCTCTGGCACTTCATAGTAAAACTGGATTAGTGTTAAGAACTAAGTACTTTCTTTGTGTACTGACTTTGAATAATTCAGGACTAGTTTGTTAGGCATATACAGGCAGAGCATTCAAAAATAGGAGCCTAAACTTAACACTCCGTATTACTTGCCTTTTTCACAGAGGTATGCTGGTGACATAGGAGCATGAATCCCTACAGCCTCTGGAATCCTGCAGGTCTGTACTGACTGCTCAGAAAGCTTCATTTTCTGGGCTTGCTAAAGCTTGCAGTTTCTGAAGTAAACAAGTAAACAAGCTTTAGCCTGCAAGTGAGTGTCCTATGGTTATTTGTTGCAGCACCAGTGAGCCTTTTATGTAAGACTTCAGTGGAAAATTTCTGTGTAAAAGCTAGCAGGTATTTTACTGGCAATGAGGAACATAATTAAACTACTAAAAAAACCCCCAACATTATCTCTAATCATTTAACATCCAAAAAAGCACCGAGATTTTTGGAGTTAAGGCAACATAGAAAAAGCAGCTGTGACACACCATTTGCATTTAAGCATGCCGTTTTTACTAATTTTCACTTTATGTATTGCTTCATATCTGATTTCTAATCTGTTTCAAAAATGTATCTATGTCTTCCACCACTGTTCATTGTTGCAAGTGGCAAAATCTATTCTGTATGACCCCCTCCCCCCATAAAGCAATGTTCAGATCATCTTCTAGCACTTACTTAGCTGCTTAACCTCTGGATTACTCAAGTGTTTGTGAAAGCTATGCTAGTGTTAGATGCCTTTCTCATTGCAAGATAAGACCAGAGCAAGTTGCAGAGTGCAGCAAGTGTCCCAGATGCTGAGTGGGTCACACAAGCCAAGTCAAAGCGTCAGGGCAAGAGGGTTCCACCACATGCCTTGCAGTTCTGGCTGGGGTGGGACACAGACGGATTGCAACTATTCCAAGTGGAATAGATTGCAACTATTCTTGTGGAAAACAAGCTGCAGAAGCTGGAGGAGATGGCATATTCCTAGGTCCCCTCTCAGCATGGGGGTGGCACTGGGATCTGTTGAAGCAGTGCATACAGAGCCAAAATCCAAGAAATTTCCTTAGGTCCTATAATAGAAGACGGGGCATGCTGTTTAGTATACCTACCCTCACCCCTGATACCCTGCTGCTGGTTTTGATGCTTGCATGATGTGAAGTTAGTGCTTGTATGAGTCACTGTTCCTCTGGGGGAAGGAAGGAGGGAGAGAGAAAGAGGGGATGTAATTTTCCTGCAGTCCCTGAGCAGCATCAGAGCACAATGTGTGGGTAGAGAAGTGTTTGTATCTCTTGGAGCTTGTCTTGACTGCTGTGAAGGGAGAAGAAAGAGCCTTGGATTATTTATTTTTCTCCCCTTTCCACCTGGCTTCCTTACCAGCTAGCTGACAGCTCCGAGATAGTGTGGTGAGGCAAGACACCAAAGTCGCCCAGTGGGCAGGAGTGTATGCCAGCTGCGGAGCTGCCCTGTTCTGCTGCCTGGCTCCACCACAGCACAGCTGCCTGCAGCCCTTGGACTGCAGCGCCTTGGGCTGCAGCAGTGATGTAGTCCTGTGCAAATCAAAGGGATCAGCTTGAAATATTCAACTTCTTATTTTATGTCCCAACACTCCCACATCCAGGGGGACATGATACTTTTCATATACAAACCCCACATCTGTAGGAGGATCTTAAACTTGAACAGCCAGCTGCTGTCATAAATAAAACGTAGCAAATGATCCCAAAGAGTAAGGGGAAATAGGAGTCAAAAGGCCAAGGTGTTCTGGCCCAGAGCAGATGTTGGCAGTATCTGGGGTGGACGTGCTGGGAGACAAGTTAATCTTGCATGAGGTCAGTGAAGTGTGTGGGTCCAGCGATGGGGGAGGGGGTAGCCCCTCCAGCAGAGCACTAAGGAAGCCCAGCTGCTCTTTGCTGCCTGTGTGAACATAGCTTGAGCTGCCTCTGCTGCTTTACATCTCCATCCTGGAGAGCTTGGCAGGTAAGGAAAGTGGAGAGGTGGATGTATCAGCAAGCAAGGCCTGTGGCATAGTCTTCGGTGTCATTCTCTCACCACTGCACAAAGGAAAAAATTTTGCTGCATCTTGCTTCTCCTAATACTTTTGGATCCATTTTAAGGCAAGTACTAGCAAATTACAGCAGTCAGTCTAGAGCTGATGGGAATTACTGGAATGTGATAAGGACTCATAAAGGAAGGAGAACCCAAGATTTCAGGGAGAAAACCCTTGGTTTTTTTAAATACTCCAAGACAGAGGGATAGCATCTGCAAACCTATGACTTTTCCATAAGCATCTCTCCTTGTTCTTGTTTATTTGTTGCAGTGAATGGAGATTGTCCACCTCTTCCTGTGTTTTCCTGTCAGCTTTGTTTGTACTCAAGCTGCCAGAGATGGCAGGTAATGGAGTGGACTCCCAGCTGTGTTAGCTGTCTCTGCCTGTGGTGCACATCCCTTTAATGCTCACCCAAAAGGCATTTCCCTTCACAAGGATACATACACTCACCTGTTTTTATCTAATAGAGGGTGAAAGTCTCACTGAACACGAAGCCTTGTGTAGATTCTTTGCAAACTAACAAATTATTAGAATAAATCTATTCATAGGCTTTAATTTAACTCATGTAAAAGCTAGATACTGATCTATCATAGAATCATAGAATCGTTAGGGTTGGAAAGGACCTTAAGATCATCTAGTTCCAACCCCCCTGCCATGGGCAGGGACATCTTACACTAAATTGTATCACTCAAGGCCTCGTCCAACCTGGTCTTGAACACTGCCAGGGATGGAGCATTCACAACCTTCCTGGGCAACCCATTCCAGTGCCTCAGCACCCTCACAGGAAAGAATTTCCTTATATCCAACCTAAACTTCCCCTGTTTAAGTTTTAACCTGTTATCCCTTGTCCTGTCACTACAGTCTCTAATGAAGAGTCCCTCTCCAGCATCCTTATAGGCCCCCTTCAGATACTGGAAGGCTGCTATGAGGTCTCCACACAGCCTTCTTTTCTCCAGGCTGAACAGCCCCAGCTTTCTCAGCCTATCTTCATACAGGAGGTGCTCCAGTCCCCTCATCATCCTCATGGCCCTTCTCTGGACTTGTTCCAACAGTTCCATGTCCTTTTTATGTTGAGGACACCAGAACTGCACACAATACTCCAGGTGAGGTCTCACAAGAGCAGAGTAGAGGGGCAGGATCACCTCCTTCGACCTGCTGGTCACGCTCCTTTTGATGCAGCCCAGGATACGGTTGGCTTTCTGCGCTGCAAGCGCACACTGAAGCTGGCTCATGTTCATTTTCTCATCAACCAACACCCCCAAGTCCTCCTCCGCAGGGCTGCTCTGAATCTCTTCCCTGCCCAACCTGTAGCTGTGCCTGGGATTGCTCCGACCCGGGTGTAGGACCTTGCACTTGTCATGGTTAAACTGCATGAGGTTGGCATCAGCCCACCTCACAAGTGTGTTGAGGTCCCTCTGATGGCATTCCTTCCCTCCAGGGTATCAACTGAACCACACAGCTTGGTGTCATTGGCAAACTTGCTGAGGGTGCACTCAATCCCACTGTCCATGTCAGCGACAAAGATGTTGAACAAGACTGGTCCCCAACACTGATCCCTGAGGGGCGCCACTCGTTACTGGTCTCCAGCCGGACATTGAGCCATTGACCACAACTCTTTGCGTGCAGCCATCCAGCCAGTTCTTTATCCACCGAGTGGTCCATCCATCAAATTGATGTCTCTCCAATTTAGAGACAAGGATGTCGTGTGGGACAGTGTTGAACGCTTTACACAAGTCCAGGTAGATGCCATCAGCTGCTCTGCCCCTGTCCATCAGTTCTGTAGCCCCATCATAGAAGGCCACCAAATTGGTCAGGCAGGATTTCCCCTTAGTGAAGCCATGCTGGCTGTCACCAAGCACCTTATTGTTTTTCATGTGCCTTAGCATGCCTTCCAGGAGAATCTGCTCCAAGATTTTGCCAGGCACAGAGGTGAGACTGACTGCTCTGTAATTCCCCGGGTCATCCATTTTCCCCTTCTTGAAAATGGGGGTTATATTTCCCTTTTTCCAGTCATCGGGAACTTCACCTGACTGCCATGATTTTTCAAATATGATGGGCATTGGCTTAGCAACTTCATTCGCCAGCTCCTTCAGGACCTGTGGATGGATCTCATCAGGACCCATGGGCTTGTGCACGTTCAGATTTTTAAGATGGTCTCGAACCAGATCCTCTCCTACAGTGGGCGTAAGGTCTTCATTCTCACAGTCCCTGCATCTGCTTTCCAAGACTTGGGTGGTTTGGTCAGAGCCTTTGCCAGTGAAGACCAAGGCAAAGAAGTCATTGAGAACCTCAGCCTTCTCCAAATCCTGTGTAGCCAGTTCTCCCAAGAGCTTCCTGAGGGGGCCTACATTCTCACTAGTCTGTTTTTTATTTGCTATGTACCTGTAGAATCCCTTCCTGTTATCTTTAATACCTCTAACTAAGTTTAATTCTAACTGGGCCTTAGCTTTCCTAACCTGGTCCCTAGCTTCCCAGACAGCACCCCTGTACTCTTCCCATGCCACCTGACCTTGCTTCCACTTATTATAAGCCTCTTTTTTTCCTTCAAATTTTCCTCAGCAGCTCCTTATCCATCCAAGGAGGTCTCCTGGCCCTCTTACTGCACTTCCTTCTGGTTGGGATGCAACACTCCTGAGGTTGTAGCAGGTGACCCTTGAATATCAACCAACAGTCTTGGGCACCCCTGCCCTCTAGGGCTGTATCCCATGGAACCTTCCTAAGCAGGTTCCTGAAGAGGCCAAAGTTTGCTCTTTTGAAGTCCAGGGCAGTGAGCTATCTTTATTACATTTTCATTTTCTGCTATTGCACTATTATTCTTTGAGTTCAGAGCTTGTTTTCATGCACAGTCTTTAAGTATCAGTTTCTTAAGAATTCCAAACCAAGAAGCAACCCCACTGCCATCTTAATAGATTTTTTTCATTATTCAGCAGTAGTTTTTATCCTTTTTGCTTGTATGGATCCTATGAAAAAAGACAGAAACATCCAGTAACAGCAAAAATCCCAGTACAACACTGGTAAGCCTCATGGCTTGCTTTTTTAAGGTGTATTGCTTTTCAGGTGTCATTTGTGAATCTTTTTCTCTAATCTGTAGATTCAGGGGCCTTGTACAGAATCTGAAAAACACTGCCATGAAAAACAAATAGATGAGTAGGTGATAGCTTCCCTTGAAAAGGGAGTAGGTCAAGTACCCGTCTGCTGACTGTTACAATTGAGTGATATGCAAGAGTAATTAGGGTTGCC